TAAATACCTTTTTGGTAACTTAGTTATTGCTTTAATTCAATCTTGGAGATGCTGGGGAAGAGCAGGCATACAAAGATGGACAGGAAATGTATTGCTAGTGTGAGATTTCATAACACTTTGAAGCAACTTTTGTTAAAGTTAAACTGTGCAGAAGCCAGTACTTTTCCCTTGTTTTGTCTATCTGAAGGCCAAGCTACATGGCACTGTGGCAGCTGCTGATTGGAGGTCTCCATGCCTCCGCTCTGTATAATACACTTGCATTCTGTTGTTCGTGTTGTTCGTGCTGTCTCTACCATCGACAATAAAACATGTCTTCTGTCGGAATTTAAGACACAATCCCAGACTTTGTCATCTTCTTCAGGTGGTGGAAGGATGCGGGCCTTGTCTGTAACATCTAGAGAACAGAAGACTTTTTTTTTGTTTGCACAAAAGTGTTTTTTTTTTTTCAAGCCAAAACTGAGAAACCTCAAAGAGAACCCATGCATCTGGACCAGCACACTTGGACAATCTGCACAGCCCCTGATTCCAGTCAGACCTGCTGTGAGCTGCTGAGACATGGACAATACCATCGTCCTCTTTTGCATGGACATCATTTGGAACAATTGGATTACACAATTTGGACATGATTTTGAACAATTGGATTTCTGAATTTGGACATAATTTGGACTGAATTGAATTGCTGAATCTGGACACTAAAGCTGAAACGTGTGATTGAAAGTGTTGTCAAAAAAACCTTTGACGGACGTGTTCAAAGTTTCATGCAGAAAACAAGACGAAGATTTCCAAGTTTAACATCTGTATTTAATTTATCTTTACAATCAGATACAGAAATTCAAACAAAGAGCTCCTATCCTAACTATGTCCCTGGCTCGCCCTGTTGCTGACTGAAACTCAAAGACTTGGGGAAGGTCATATAGGAAACTTCCAATGACGTCATCTCTGTGCGTCTCCGTATGTTCAAATCGGGTGTGCTGGCGTCCCTTGTCCACTGGGAGGCGTCAGAATGCCGTTGGTGAATCCCCAGTCTGCCTGATTGTGGTGGACTTTTGATCTCGTCAGAGAGGGAAGCAGATAATGTTTATTATTTAAAGTTAATAATTCGCCTTGTTTAAAGGCTGGTATCTTTATGATTCCTGTCTGCTTATCCTGTGTCCTTGTGACTTATTCCTGAGTGTGAGTGAGTCTTCAGAAGGCCTATTTATTAAAATTATTTAGTAAACAACATTTTAATTCTACAACAATCCCTCTTTTGACCTATCTTAAAATAGGTCACACTTTTCAACAACCCCTCTCGGGTGACGGGTTGGGGAGATCCTCCAATGCCAGCATCTTGTGCTCAGTTCAGGCTCGATATCTGTGAAGACGTTAATACAGAGAGAATACAACACACACCCACATTTTGAAACATTCCTTCAATACTATTTGATGACAACTGCTGTGTCATTCTGATTCTTCATCTACCTCGTCTGTAATGTATGCACTAAAACTACTCACTATAGTTTAAAACTATTCTAATCTATTTACAAATATGTTTGCATATTTGCTTTTATTAAGCCATATTCTTAAACATATGTTTTTATCTAATAAATCTCTCTATACTATGGTTTGCTTTCATTATCAGTGGCTTTGTGCCAGTGGGATTTTGCTCCATGTCTATTCTACATTCTCAGGAACAAAACTGAACACAGAAAGACAAATGGTTAATATTAACATTATTATGGCGGTCAGTTTTCCAAATACATTTGTTGAAACAGGAAGTGCTGTCACTTCCTCCTCTCAGACAGTTTGGGATGAATGTACATCATTAATCAAATTAGTATTATCCATACAAGGGGTAATCTATTTTTAGCAGGTTTTTTTTTTTTAGGGTCAGTTACTCTACAATGGTATTTGATTCTCTAATCTGTGCTGACAAATCGACAGCTTTTAGAATTCTCAAAAATATCTGAATATCTACTTTTGTGCTATACCCAAATACATCAAAATGCTTTTAAGTGTTTTTGAATCTCTGTTGGTTCTAATCTATCTCATTAATCTATCTCATTAGTCTATTTCATTAATCTAAGCTACATTAGTCCAGGCTACACTCATGAACTTTTGCATTGTCAACATTCACCAATGTTTGAAAACAAGTGAATTTGACAAGTATTTAATAAAACTGTACATAAACTGTAATGAACTTTATCTACTTTTGAAGTAAATGCTTGTGAACATATTTTGAAGGAAATGGTCCTTTTACCATTTGATATTAGCACTGGCTAAAAATAATCTCTATTTTTGAAAGCATCTATGGTTGATGCATTTATCTATTTATACTCTATTGTGACTCCAAAGCTCGGTTGCAGCTTGAGCCAAGGCATATTTCTAATTTGTGACTTCTGTCACTTTCAATGGCTGTAAAATAATTCTGATTCTAACAGTTTAGCTGCTCTATCAGAAGGATCACATTGTATGGTACCATTTTAACTCTTACGCTAAAGTGTGTTTATGTACAATGATCAAATTCTACTTTTTTTCTACTATTTAACATCTACTAAAACGCTAAAATACTCATACTTTATCATTTTAAACCATTTTAACAGTTGCTCAGTCTCCCAGACTAAAAGTCAACCTTTTTTGTCTGCCAGACTGAACACTTAACATTTATTGCATTTGTCGCAGTTGTAGCAATCACTATTTTATGTGTTGTATTTCAGACAATTCCAAAACCAACACAGTAGTTCTCAAATATTAAAGACATAAATCTAAATCAAGTTGCCTGAAAGGGAGCAGGAAGAAGAGAACTATTTAAAAACGTTATCTACGATTATATGGCTATGAAATTAATTATTTAATAAACAAAAGCACATTCATGGCTTCTGTCCGCTGCTTATAACTGTTTAAAGAGTTTTCCCAAACCTAATATGTGTAAATACATCAGCTGTTTGTAATAAACAATAACATTTGACCTGTTCTCCAATGGAGCAGCCGCTCAGAGGCTGCGTCACGAGCAATGTTATATTTGAGCTATTTTTAAATTTAAAAAATTGTTAAAGCCTGTTGTTCTATGTCTGCATTTTAATACTACTCTCTATAAACACATCTGCACGAGATCCTACAGATGTGGAAAACAGAAGCATCTAAAATCTGACTCCATTTGATTCCTTTTTACTTTAGTTATTAGAATAATTTGACATTATTGATACTTATTTTCACGATAGAACTATTTTGATTATTCACTAGTCTAACTATTATTACTATTGTTTATTCTGACACGTCTTATTGGCAACACTTTAACCTATAGTTCCAGACTATTTCATTCTATTCTATTATTATCTTATTATTATATGATCTATTATCTTAAAGCGTAGATCTGTTTGATGTGTGCATTATAAGCGCTATTATTTCTCTATTTTGAATTTGCACAACAATAAAATTATAATGACCCACTGTGGGACAAATACGTTTTACACTTCTTTCTGTTAGAAGGTTAACACTAGGACCGCCGTGCTCTAAACATACCTTGCACCGCCCCCTGCGGTCAATTGACCGCTATGTATTTTGCGCTGATACAGCCTTTTGCCAAATTGATTGTTCACTAAACCAGAACTTGATGTTGCTAGGAAATCGTGATCATAATGAAACTGTGTAAATTATTTGTCTAAATATGCTAAGTAATTGTAATTCTAGCCGAAATAAAAGGCTAAGACGACACATTGTGCGTGTACTGATCCATCAAAATTACAATGACCTTTCAGGCTAGATTTATTTTTTAACTTTGCAAACACCTAAAAGGTTGGTCACTATATGTTAAATTTGACTCAGTAACAATATGTAAATTCAAACAATATAAATGATAGTTTAGAAAAGCACGGGACAATAACGTCTTCGCGCCATATGCGTTGACTTCTTACGTCATCTTCAGACTGTTTTCTCTTTCCAGCCGAAATCCCCGTGGCCAATATTATCTAGATAATAATAATAGTTTTTGTATTGACACAAGATAATCAGGCTAGGCTACCATCATCAATGTAAAATCTTCAATTTTACACGGGACACGTTAGAAAGACAAATATATATATATATTTGTATTTATTTGAGACAAGCAGTGCTCTTTATGATCAGAACAAAAGTATAATCAGTGCGCGCTGTGCAGAATAACACACAGTGTTATCTGGATGAAATAAGAATGAGATCCTTATTGATATGATGAGGGCCGCTTCTGCCCCACAGTCGTTCTCCTCCTGCAGGTGTCCGCGGGTGACGGGAGGCCTCACAGCGCTCTATCTGCACTCTGCCTTGATAGTTCATCTAATTGTTCTATTTTATTGCGATATTGTATTCTGCTTTATTGCCTTCTTCTATGTATAAATATAATAATGTAATTGATGATGAATGAAAAGGCAGAATGGAGAGACAGCGCGCACGCAGACACCGTATGGCTGGCATTACGCGGGTCATGTGCGTTATTGCTTCTGGACTTGTTACAACACTGCTGTTTGTGCCGTGAATGCACTATGGGTTTACGTTCAGATTTAGAATATTATAGGTGTTCTCCCCGCTGTCACTTTCCACCTCAGAGTCTGACATCTCACCTCCGTCAGACTGTTCTCATTCAATGTCTTGAAGCACTGTCAGGGCTTCATACCGTGTACTTGCAGCTCTATTCATGTTGTACTCCTCTCAAGTCAAAACTCTTTCTCTCTCCCAAATAATAATTTTTAAAAAACTCAAGTCCCTTTAGAGTCTAATGACAACATATTGATACCTTTTTATAAGGCGCGAAAAACCCCCGGGAAAGGTTACTATGACAACAGTCGCCCCTGCGCCATGTATCCCTATGGGGCAGCAGAAAGGGCTGTGGTTTAGAAAAGTTAAAATGCATGTAAGGCGGGTCTCAAGATGGCGGCGACGTGATAGCAAGTGGTTTTGTCTACTCCCTGTCTGTATTCTGGAAATGTAAACTTCCCTGCTCGAATTCGCATCTATTCAGCTAAAAATCAACCAGTAAAGCTTTAACAATGCCGAAGCCCCCAAAAACGCCACGAAATGACCCATCCCGGGACTCTACAGAGGATTTTCCGGAGTTGTCCAGAGAAGCTGGCCTCGCTGCTAACACCACGGAGCTAGCTAACGAGATATTGCTACAACACATCTCTGAAACGATTGCGGCAGAGGCAAGGCGCTCTCAAACAGCCATGGATCAGTCAATCGCCAAGCTGGAGCTGTCCCTTGATGGTAAAATTAACAATGTTATCAAGCGCATTGACGAAGTGGCGGCTTCGTGCGACGCTATCGGGGTTCGCCAGGCGGAGGCTGAGAGCCGCATCTCCGCTTTGGAGGACGACGTGACGCCGCTGCAGGCCAGAATGAATGAGCTGATTAAGTCCAATTCAGAGCTAGCTTCGCAAGTTTTGGATCTCCAGGCTCGCTCAAGGAGGGATAATCTACGCATTTTGAACTTGAGAGAAGCTGTGGAAGGGTCTAACCCCGTGTTATTCTTTGAAAAGTTTTGACAGACCACAAGGCTGTGATCGCTAGTGTGACACTAGCGATCACAGCCTTGTTTACATCACTTCCTCCACGTGCTCCTCGCTGGCGCTTTTATACTACTTTACTGCAAAGTGATGGTTTTAGGCAGCAGTTTATATCTGAACTGGAAGAGTTTGTGGCTATAAATAAAGGCTCTGTCGCTGACCCCAGAATCTTGTGGGATGCTATTAAAGGTTTTATCCGTAATAATTCAATTAGTTATGCCTGTCACGTCAAAAGATCTAGAACAGCTAGATTGCATATTTTACAAAGTAAACTTAAAGTTTTTGTTAATCTATTACAGAAAAGTTATGATGATGACATCGCCATTCAACATGATTTGATTAAAAAAGAGCTTAATGATATTCTCAAACGTCAAGCAGAATTCTTAATACATAAAACCAGGCAAAATTACTACTTTAATGGGGCAAGACCAAGTCATCTACTTGCTCTTAGACTTAGGTCAGATGAGCAGTTCTCCGACATCTCATCCATCAGGGACATAGGTGGGCAAATTTTAGCGGAACCTGTAGGTGTTAATTCGGTCTTTTCTTCCTTTTATTCTAAATTGTATAGTTCTGAGGTACTGCATGATGAACAAACATGTAATAACTTTCTTGAAAACGCCAAATTACCTAGGTTAAGTGATGAAGACCGGAGTAAACTCAACCAACCTATTACTCTGACTGAGCTAAAGGAGGCTGTGTCAGATATGCGTAAACGAAAGTCCCCTGGTTTGGATGGTATACCACCAGAGTTGTACGTAACTTTTTGGGACCATCTTGGACCTTTGATGCTTGATATGGTTCAGGCTGCTTTACAAGTTGGATCCTTCTCAAGAGATGTAAACACTGCTCTAATATCATTATTATTAAAAAAAGATAAGGACCCACAGGAGTGCTCTAGTTATAGGCCCCTGTCTCTTCTCAACTGTGATTTGAAAATTGTTTCTAAAATGTTGGCCCGTAGGCTCCAACCTTTTATGACCAAATTGGTCAACTGTGATCAGACAGGCTTCATTAAATCACGGACTGCCTCAGACAATCTTAGGAGATTACTTCACATAATTCATGGTGCTACAACAACCCAACAGCCTTGTGGTGTTTTTTCGCTTGATGCGATGAAGGCTTTTGACCGTTTGGAGTGGTGCTACCTCTGGTCTTTGTTGCACTCTTTTGGTCTGGGTCCTGATTTCATAAAAATGATCCAAATACTATATAATGACCCTTCAGCTATGGTGCTAACCGGTAAAATGTGCTCGTCATCCTTTGCTGTAGCCAGAGGCTCCAGACAAGGCTGTCCTTTAAGCCCACTTCTATTTGCTCTTTCATTGGAGCCTCTGGCTCAAACCATACGTTTATCTGATAATATTGCTCCTATTGTACTGAATGGCACAAAACACCATATTTCTTTGTATGCAGATGATGTTCTCCTGTATTTGGGAAACGCTCAATCAATCCCCAACATACTTTCAATATTTAGTTCTTTCAGTAACATTTCAGGCTACAAAATTAACTGGGATAAATCCGCCTTTTTGCCATTAAATGATAAAATGAGGAATTCCACCTTGCCTACCATTCTCCCTGTTGTGAAAGAATTTAAGTATCTTGGAGTTGAGATCTGTTCATCCTTACATACTATTGTAAAAACAAATTATGAAGGTGGCCTATCCAAAATTTTAGGTGATCTTGAAAGATGGTCGGCATTGCAAAATTCCCTTCGTTCGCGTATTTCAGCAATTAAAATGAATATACTGCCACGAATAAATTTTCTTAGCTTCATGATTCCGTTACCACCTCCACCTAATTTTTGGAATAGGCTTCATAAAGCCGTCAGTAAATTTATTTGGAATGGGAAGAAGCCGCGCCTAAAGTTCTCCACAGTTCAACGCAATAGATCAGCAGGAGGCATGTCACTGCCGAATTTCAAATTATATCACTGGGCCTTTGTACTTCGGCCTCTAGAAGCTTGGTATGACACTTCCTTGGATGTATCTTGGCGGCCAATAGATGAATCGCTTGCTCATCCTCTAAACCTTCCTGAAATATTATTTGCAAATGTTCCCACTAATAAGTGTTGTACACGTTTTGGTCCTCTTTTATCACACTGTATCGCTGTTTAGCGTTCTGCTGAAAAAGCGTGTGGAATTACAATGAAGTGGAATTTACATTCTCCAATTTTTAATAATGAATCTATTCTTATTAACAAATGTCCTATAAAGCAAACGCAATATAAACACTGGTATGATAAGGGAATACACTCTTTGGGTGATATGTTCGACAATAAGGGCCTCCTCTCATTTGAGGATCTCTGCAGCCGGTTCAATATACATCGTTCCTCATTCTTTTTTTACCTGCAGTTGAGAACTGCTATGAAAACGTATGGAGTACCATGGCAATCTTCTCTTCATGTTCATCCTTTTTTAAAGTTTGTAGATAGATCTGGTATGTCAAAAGATATTATCTCCAAACTATACAATCACCTTTTGGAAGAGTCTTTCATCCCTTTACAACTAGACCCAACCTGGAGAAATGATATTCCCAATTTACCTCTGGATTTTGATTGGGAAAAAACATGGAACTCTGTGCTCTGCTCATTTAAAAACCCAGATCATCAGCAAATACATTTGAACTTCATTCACAGGACCTATATGACGCCCCAAAGACTTTTCAAAATGAAGCTAAAAACGGATCCTAATTGTACATTATGCCACACAAATACACTGGGCACTTATTTTCATATGGTGTTTATTATTTTTGGAGTGTTCTATGCAATAGCTTATCTCTGTTACTTTCATGCAATATTCCTTGTAAGCCACAGGTTTTACTACTCAATGACATGTCTCTCCTTGGCTTGCGGAAAGGCGAAGAAAAAATTTTACTTGCTGGTTTGACAGCTGCTAAAAAAATGATTGCTGTTAGATGGAAACCTCCCCATTGTCTTTCTCATCGTCAATGGGTTCTAACATTTATTGACATTGCTTATTTAGAACTATCTACGGCGCGAATCCACTATGCCAAGGAGAAAACAGTCGACCTGTGGAATCGAACGGTGTTTGACTTGAAAGAAACTCTGCTATAATGTATAATTTGGACTGTGGTGCGACCTTCCCCCTATTTGTATTTGAATTTGAATTAACAGCAAATAGGATATAAACAGATGTACATTCGCACATTTATATTTTTTCTTGCCCTGGACCGGTATATGAGTGTTGGTTTGATTTTATTTTATTTTATTTTCATAGTTGTACAAAATTAAATAAACATTTGATAAAAAAAAAAAATGCGTGTAAATCTTGTTTTCTTTACTTTTTCCAAAACCAATACACACCAAAATATAAACAACAAGTACCCAGTAAAAGTCATAAAATTTCAACTTCTGGCGTTTTGTTTTGAATACACTAATTAGCATATTAAAGTGAGTGACGGTCAGTTGACCGCTAGGGGCGCTCCTAGTGTTAAGGACCATGACCACCTATGACAATAACATTACAATACTCCCTCTCTTGGTCGTGGGCCAAGTATAAATGTATGCGTGTGTGCGTGTAGATTACTGTTCCAATCATCTCCAATTGTTTCTCCCGGGTCGTCCTCAATTCGTATTGTGGGCTGTGATGCCAAAGAAAAAGGCTCATTTCCTCTCATGATCATGTTTTCCCTGAAGCAGGTGTAGTTTATCTTTTATCTGAAAAAGAAACATTAGAACACAAGAAACGCCCACTTCCCTGCCCTCGCATGGTGCAGCCTGTCAATCTTTCCAATTGGGCAAAACATAACTGCATTGACAGACGGTGTGTGACATCAGGGCAGAGGCTGTAGCCAAATACAGACTTAACAAAATGTATGTTTCTTATTTTATACTCCACTAAATGTGAGTTACAAACCAAAGTTGTCCTCCGACCAATGACCGTTCACTGCGGCTGGACTGAGTCACTGTCAGGACGAGCAGCAGAGGGAGGGACTCCCAGTACCTTCAGCAAAGTACTCATCTCAGAGTACTTTCAGCAGAGTACTTTCACCAGAGTACTCTCACTTTTACACCTGTTCAATAAAGCTTGTTATCTTTGAATCTCTAGTACTTACACCGTATGCTGTTGACAAAAATAATTATTCAATGATCACATTAAAACATTACAGGAAACATTTGTTATTCCATTCTTCGTTCACCACTCCTCATTCACTCCTCATTTCACAACACACTCATTGGCCACACACCGACTCCTCACGTTAGTATTTTGGTCCAGAGTTTGTTAAGGTCAGCGTAGTGTATTTGACATGACGCACAAACATATAACACACACAAACACATAGACAACACAGAAGGCCTGTAATTTAACTTTGTTATATTTTTCCATGTCCAATTACAATTGTCTCATGAGTTATTTTATTGTTGCAACTTTCAGAGCCTGCAGAATATGCAGATCTTTAAGAGATATTTCCTAAAAGGATCCGTTTAAAGAGCTCTTATTGTTACTTTCAGACTCGTGCACGTGCTATAAATGTTTTTCCCTTTTTTCAGTAAAGCCAGTTCGGATTCCTTAAAAAAGTAAATTAATTTCAAACTTTAATACTTCACCTTTGTTTCACGTTCATGTGGAGAAAAGACTATTATTGTACGTGTACTAACGTACTTGCACCAATCATGTCTCAGATAAACTGCCAACAGTTGTATCAAAGACATAATTGTCCTAATTGTTTCTGTTTTACATAACCTGGTCATTCACATTGCCCTGGCAGTTGCACTTGACTTGATATCTGAATGCAGTAAGTGCTACTTGTTGGGGTAATGTTGGTGATTTAAGCCACAGACATTTCCATTGTTGATGGAATCAATGTGGAACGTATGGTACAAATCACAAACAAGAGCAGGCATACAAAGTGGCAAAGTTCTGCAAGTTCAAAACTGATTGAGTGTGAGGTAATAAACTATTATCTTCTTCATCAATCATTGTACGTTGTGTGTTTGCTGAGTATCTACAGATACA